TTTAAAAATGTTTCTGTTTATTTTTGAGAGCAGAGCACAAGTTGGGGAGGGGCAGAAAGAGAGTGAGACACAGAATCTGAAGCAGGCTCCAGGTTCTGAGCTGTCAGCACAGAGCCTGATGTAGGGCTCGAACCCAGGAACTGCGAGATCATGAGCTGAGCTGAAGTGGGATGCTTAACTGACTGAGCCACCCAAGCACCCTAGGATACTTTTGGATTCTTAACCTCATCTGACCAGTTCTAGATTGAAGTAACTTCTGTGGAGTCATTATGAATTTGAATTTGAGATAAAATGGAGTTAAGCTATTTTAGTTTTTTTTCCAGTATCAGAAGTCAAGGAATAGTAATATTCCAGGAGTGAATACACGAATATAAACCTTTTTTAACATAAATTCTGAGATTGAGTCTTCTGGTGTTAATGTAGAGAGAAATTTGTCTTGTTTGATCATAGATGGTAGTGCGTCTTTTAAGTCATTGCTAGCATTGCAAATGTGTGGATATGCTGAAGAGATATGATTAGAGCAGTGTGGTTCACCTAGAAGCAGATTTTGAAAACCGTTTGCATGCAGTTGTGTAAGGTGTTTCTCATCTTAATTATTCTTATTTCATTCACGGTCATGTCTTTTAACTAGTGAGTTTTGAAATCTAAGTAGTGGCTCTCGGTTAAAATAAAAGAATAGAAACCGTCAGTGTGCATGGCACATACGAAAGGGAAGTGTTTCATCACACTAAATGTGTGTGCCTGTGTGTGTGCATGTGCACATGCATGAGCAGAGTTGAAATGTAGAGTTATTTTTAAAGTCTATTTGTAAAGTCTACGGTAGAGACTTACACATGTGGTGGCATTCTGCGAGAGCATGCACGTAGCGCTCACTTTCTGTCACTGTTCTAGTCAGTGAGGTGCTGTAACTTCCTGGTTTCTCATCACCCTCAGAGGCATACTTCTATTTTTTACGATCTTTATCTTACTCCTTTGATTATAGAAACTGTCTCTCATTTAGGATTCTCTAGAATTCCTTTCTCCAGTTAGAAAAATAAGAGTTTGATTTTCACAGGATACGTGTGGAATCAGTCTGTAGTCTGATGGTCATTGGTCCGAGCAGTGGGTTTGGAGAATTAAAGGTGTTTCAGAGTGACAGTGACTCTGGACAGGTCATTTAATCAGAAGCCCATGCTGAGACTTTTTGGTGGGCTGATACATTGTGGACAGCTCTTATTCCCTGCATTGGGTTGGGTTTCTGATTGCGAGTATTTATTTACTTATTACATAATTGTGGTCAAACTAAAAGCTCAGTAGTAAGTCCTAACTTCTCTTTTATCTTGTCAAAGTGGTAAACTTGGTTTTCAAACAGTAAAGGATTCATGAGCTCTCTTAGAAGTTTGAAGAATTGTACCCTTTTTCCGGTCCTTTGAAAGGCAAACTAAAAGACTGTAAATAGACAATGTAGGCTGTGTCCAAGGACTGAAATGACAGTTAAGGAAAAAAAAACCCTGCAGAAGGTAAGCATGCTTAAAATGGTGTATGTGTATGGTAGTTGTTTGCTCTCTCTCCTAACCGGGGATGTTGGGTAAACTGAGTAAGTACTTGGGTGGGAGGCTTCAGAGCTGGGAAGAGTGGAAGTGGCATTTCCTCACTTATGTAGGATGGTGTTTTTAAAATGGGGACAGGTGTGAGGTTGGGGGCATAGAAGCATTTTTTTCTTCCCCTCTTGATCAGGTTACTCAAGTTCAGGGAAGGCGTCATGACTGCGGAGGTCACTTGCAAGGCTTTGGATTATTTTTAATTGATGCATGCTTTTACAGAAATGTCTTCTCCAAGAGGAACGTTAAGAATTTTCAGTTTCACATGAACTAAAGTTAGTATGCTTTTATTTTTTAAAAAATGAGGAGCTTAAGAACCTGGCAAATCCTTGTCTTCACACTTACATTCAGTCTTTGCCATTGTATGTATAGAATGCATTTTTTACACAGTTATAATCTGTGCATATTAATTTGTGCTCTTTTTGACTTTATATGTATTAGAGTTGATCCTTGAACAGTACAGGGGCTGGGGTGCTGACAGTAAAGTAAGCTAGAGAAAAAATGTTACTGAGAAAATCGTAAGGAAGAGAATGCATTTATAGTGCTGCAGTGTATTTATAAAAAAAAAAAACCTGTGTATACATGGTCCTGTGTAGTTCAAACCCACGTTGTTCAAGGGTCAACTGTATGTATAACATAATCTATAAAGTATTACATACAGTAGCTTTAAAAAGGTGTCAACGTAGTGCACGCACTTCTTTAATGGCAGTATACAATTGCACCTCATTACTATACCTTATTTCATTTGGTCTTTCACTTACTTGGAATGTTTTCAGTTTCTTGCTGTCCTAAATTCAACAACTTGAACATTTTTGTTCCAGTGTGCTTTTCAATAGGCCTTATGTAAACATTGTAAGAGAAACTATTCAGATGGTTTATAAATATGCTTTAAAGGTTGAAATGTCTGCTTTATAATGTAACGATATTTCCACCCCTCTGATTGGCAGAACTGACTTCTGTCTGAACTAAAGAGGGGTTAAAAAGATGCAGAGTAGTAACAGTGATACTGCAACAGTTAGGTTTTAGATTTACAAATGCCCGTACTTTGAAAGTAGTCAATGGTGTTCATCTTCCCCTTTCTTGAGTTGATTCTTGCTTCAGCTTACTTGCATTTCTTTCCCCACAGTTGTTTGTTGCTGGTTTGATTGTGCTGCTGTTAGATGAGCTGCTACAGAAGGGTTACGGCTTGGGGTCTGGTATTTCCCTCTTTATTGCCACCAACATCTGTGAAACCATTGTCTGGAAGGCCTTTAGTCCCACTACTATTAACACTGGCAGAGGTACATTGCACAGTGTCTGCGACTGCACGAGTTTTGCTGGATGTGTGCTGGAAAGTAACCTGTCTCCGAGCAGGACATGCCTGTAGACATCCTGGTTTGCCCTCCCAGGGGACCACTGATGCTGATTGCTCAAGAGTTAAGCAGCAGAGATTTGTGGAGTATGAAATACTACTTCAAAAAGAACAATAACTAAATTTTAGCCTCTGCTCATTGAAAATTTCAGTGATTGCAAACAGCTTTTCAAAAATGTTTTTTGCTTAAGTCATTGCTGCAGAAGTCATTGATTTGACCAATTTCCGCATTCCCAGGGGGACAAAAAGGTAGTGGATTAAGATTTTTCAAATGAAAAAACTATTACATATTGTATGAGGGAGCACTAATACTTTTGCTGCTATCCTACTTGGCTTTGTAATAGCAACTAAATTTTGAAGTAATTCGTTCTGTCTTTCCTTTTCCCCATTTCCATTTCTCTCAGATGCCATCCACGGTTCATAGTGGTTAACATCTAAACTGATCCTAGCCTTAGGAAAATAGCAATGATGGTTTGTTAATATTCTTGGTAAAACAAATTTAAAAGCAAGCACGATAGAGTAACACATACCTTTTGATTCTGACATCTTTACTCTGCTTTGCTGCTGCTTCCCCCTAGCCCCACCTAAAAATAGTCCCCTTCCCTTCCCTAAAGTAAAGGAGAGGCAAATCATTATGACCTAAATATTTGTGTAGGTTTATTCTACTTTGGCTGTTTTCATGAGGAACAGTCTTTTGAGAAAACTTGAGATTTGTGCTAAAAAAGATACATTTGCCTCAACGATGTTGCTATTTTTAGAAGCCCCACACATGGCTGTGTTAAAGAGTAAACATTGGTGAATTATTTTGACTCCTATTTTCTGCCATGTACTGGAGTTTCAAGGTTATTTGTTTGCTTCTGGGACAACTTTGGGTGACGAGTCTACAGTCCATTTCTATCTTCATTTATCAGGTACGGAGTTTGAGGGTGCAGTCATAGCTCTCTTTCATTTACTGGCCACCAGGACAGACAAAGTCCGAGCTCTAAGGGAGGCTTTCTACCGGCAGAACTTACCCAACCTCATGAACCTCATTGCTACAGTTTTTGTATTTGCCGTTGTCATATATTTTCAGGTAAGTCTGCTTTCTTCACTGAAATACGTGGGATGTGGACTTTTATTTAGCTTTTAAAGAAAAGCATGCCATTTGAAATGTTAGTATCTAACAAGTCAGTGTTGCAGAATCTAGTCAAGCACATGATTCTGTTCTTAGACTCCAAGGTGCAAAATGTTTGTGGTTACCGCCTAGAACAGGATTTCCGTTTCTGTGTGCCCTGTGGAAGGAAAACGTTAGCACGGCCTTTTCATGCTCCCCACTGGGTGGTCCCGTCTGCCATCTGTATGTTCTTTATTTGATGTGTACAGTTGCTCTTACTTCCTCTTCCTTTCATTTTTTAGGGATTTCGTGTTGACTTGCCCATCAAGTCGGCCCGGTATCGAGGACAGTACAGTAGCTATCCCATCAAGCTCTTCTACACCTCGAACATTCCCATTATTCTCCAGTCGGCCTTAGTGTCAAACCTGTATGTTATTTCCCAGATGCTGTCTGTTCGATTTAGTGGCAACTTTCTGGTAAATTTACTAGGACAGTGGGCTGTGAGTATTTTCTTATTTATTCTAAGCATTTAAATTTATTGTAATTTGCATTTCATGGTTGTATTTTTAGTCGAAAGAGATGAGCCAAAATTGAAACAGTTGCTGTAGCATTTTCACATTCACTGACCTGTAGCAGAATTTGTCATTTATTTGGAAGGAGTGATGAGTGTTGCAAAACTAAGATTGGCCAGGTTCTTTGTGTTAATTTACTGTCTAGGAAGTATTTTCACATCTCCCTGGAGGGACCTCAAGGTTAAAATCACAGCTGCTCTCATGAAAGTGGTTTTCTGTTTTGTTAACTTACTCTGCTGTTATCTAGAATGTTTTTTAAGGAAGCTATTTGCTGACTGTATGTGGGGTACTGACATCTCCTGTTTCACCCCCATTTTTCACAGCCTGAGTGGCAATAAACTAGTTGTGATGAACTGGGCTGGAGATAGGCACGTGATTATTGGCCTGAGGAGAGAACAGAGTTACTAGAAATAGAATCCAGCACTCTCTGACTTCCCATTTTAGATCCTGTCAGCATAGCTTTTTCTAAAGAGGCCCAGCCATGTCGTTGTTACTGGAGTGCGAGTTCTTGTCGGATTGAATTTTGAGTGATTTAAATTCTGTCATATGACCACGGAGTACTTTTCCCCCTTACAACTATAGAATTGAAGGAGACTCTGAGCCTTTATTCTTTTACAGAACATGTAACTGTGGAATTAGTATTTCACCAACTACCTTATTTCTGAAATGTGCTCATTCTACGCATTTATCTTAATATGCTAGCTTTTCCATTGTAAGTTATAGTGACATATCTTTCTGCTTCTAATGGTCTTTTTTTTTTTTTAATTTTTTTTTTAACGTTTATTTATTTTTTAGACAGAGAGAGACAGAGCATGAACGGGGGAGGGTCAGAGAGAGAGAGGGAGACACAGAATCCGAAACAGGCTCCAGGCTCCGAGCTGTCAGCACAGAGCCTGACGCGGGGCTTGAACTCACGAACCGTGAGATCATGACCTGAGCCGAAGCCGGATGCTTAACCGACTGAGCCACCCAGGCGCCCCTTTTTTTTTAAATCTAAAGTTTAACAGGGCAAGACAGCAACTCTTGAGTGTTAGTTGAAGGAAATAGGATTCTCTTTATCTATAGTACTCTTTTTCCATTCATGTAACAGAAATGTGATTACCTGTGATGAGGGAAGATGTGGTCCCTCCCCTTGCAAGCTAATAGTCCAGCAATAATTATGACTATGGTAATTTCATAGCAATAAATGCATTGAGTGGTTGTATATAGACTATGTTGTGGTCTAACGAAGATTCTTTTTAATGAGATAATTACTGGGAAATTGAATTTGTCTATAAATAGTGCTTTTGATTGGGGATTAGTGATTCTAGGGGCACAGTAAAGAAATCATTTTGAAACATATATTCAGGAAGCAGACATTTTAATCATTGTGGCCAGAAATTGCTTTCTACCCCATATACCCCAGAACATACGCTGTACCTAGTTCTGTTACTATAAAAATTCTTAAATGTTTGGATAAATACCCTCACAAATATTTGCTAAAAGACTATTTCTTAAAATATGCAAAACATATAAAGTTTAGGCAGCGAGTTGTTTGTTGTCTGTCAGTATTTCAGTTAATTGTATTCTTCATGGAATGCTATGAAGTGAAAGAATATGTTGCATGGTCTTGTATACTGCAGAAAGTTTCAGATTCTAAATGTAATCAGAGGTTGCCTGTAAATGGAACCATTTTAGGAAGAGAAGGAGGATTTTTTTTGTAGATGTAGTATAATGTTGGTTTTTAGAAGATCACTCTTCTGTTAATAATATATTCACAGTGTCTTTTATGTAAAAGATGCTCACTATATAATTTTGAAGGAGTGAAAATATCAGACACAGAAGTAAGTCTTCAAGTTACATGGGATCATTAGCTGTAGGTGCTTTGAGCTTACAACATTGTCATAATTGTTGAGGAGTTTGAAAAGTCATAAAAATGTATCTTGACCAGTTGGGTTGACCATTTGCCCTTATTGTTCTTGTCCTGTAGGATGTCAGTGGGGGAGGACCTGCTCGTTCTTACCCAGTGGGAGGCCTTTGTTACTATCTTTCTCCTCCCGAGTCCATGGGCGCCATATTTGAGGATCCTGTCCATGTGGTTGTTTACATCATCTTCATGTTGGGATCATGTGCATTCTTTTCTAAGACGTGGATAGAGGTGTCTGGTTCCTCAGCCAAAGATGTAGGTATTTGTTTTATATGAAAATAAACATTTTTACTTTTTAGCTGTCAAAAAATGGTGATTGGAACTCTCTTAATTACTTTTGTAATTTAAACTTTAAGTCATATGTTCGTAATGAGGTAATGTCACCCGTCGGGGATTAAAAACCGGTATCTGAAAGTGGAAAAATTTTTAGAGTTTTACAATGGTTTGTGACCCTCCAAAGCTTAACCTTACCCAACAAATTCTTATCCCTTAGTATTTAATTTCTGTTCAGGGAGGTGATACGTAAAAAAGATTGAGAAACCATGATTTAGTATGTGGGTACTAGGTGGTTCCACAGCAGTGAGCCTCAGGTGTAATGGTAATGGTAAGGCTGCACCTGCTTCAGGGTTCTTGTATTTATTGATGTGTGGAAAGCACTTCCCACAGAACCTTGGAGGTAGTAAACAGTGAAATATTTAGAGTTTGATTAAAAAAATTTTTTTTAATGTTTATTTTTTGTTTGTTTTTTAAAAATTTTTTTAATGTGAAATTTATTGTCAAATTGGTTTCCATACAACACCCAGTACTTATCCCAAAAGGTGCCTTCCTCAATA